TTGCTTTGTTGTAATAGTTACTGTATATGTAAAAGTTTAGGCCTAGCCCTTCACTATATATTAACATAGTTAATTCATTGGTATCAACCATCAACATTTTTTTATATGCTAAAAGAGTTTTTTAGTTAATTTATACAGAAAAGGTCAATATTCAATATAGTCATAATGTTTTACTAGATATCTTGCTTTAAAAGATAAATAGTAAAACAATCTTGATTTAGTCCGCATTCAGTGACAGATTTTTTGGTGTTTGAAATAATTTCTAGACATGGAGCAAATTCCAAACATTTTTATCTTTATACTTATGTCAAATATTGATGCTTTGCAAAAAATTGCAATGATTGGAGACTGGGAACAAAATAACCCTTTACCTTCATCCCCCTTTCTACAACAAATGTGAGAGCAACAAGTTAATAAAATATTTTTTGTACTATTCGTAACTAGACTTATATACATCAATAAATTTTAAGTTTCATAGTATTATCTCTAAGCGTTCAAAAATTATGACCATATAAAGTTTAAACCACCCTCAATTTGAGGTGGTTACAAACATTATATGGTTTTTATAATGTTTAACATTAGTCAGAAATGCAAAAAAATACAGGCAAACTTTATTTATAAATAATATATGCACGTTTAAGATTAAAAAATGTTGTCAGTTCACTGATAACTTTTGATTTAAAAAATATTTATAAAACATCAATACTTTTTTATCTTTTTGGTATAGCAACTTAATTGACAAAATTAAAGTCTATTATGCCTTACTAAATAATTGTAAATTTTAGAAATCAAAAACTAATAGGGTTATAAAAAAAAATTATCAAATATATCTCATGATAATATAAGTAACTTTAAAATTGTTGCTTATCAACATTGTCAATGGTGATTTAAAATTGTATAAAATTTCTAGTATTCTAAAACCATCAATTGAAAAAACCGTAAGTTGAACATATATAGTAATAACAAAACTCGTGACAAAGTTTTTAAAATATTTTATAGATATAGATTAAAATGCTAAATTTTTTACCAAAGTCACAAAAGAAACAGAAAATATAAGTAACATAAGAGTTGTCATAAAAAAACACACACACAATAGGTTTACTTCGAAAACTTCAAAATCTTTTACTCTCACTCTTTAAATCCTCTTTAAATCCACTCTGCTAAATCCTGTTTTTTGTCGACTCAAAAAATAGGTTGCCTGCAATACGCCTTACTCAGTGCCAGTATATAAGGGGTAGCATGTGTGCATGGGCGCCTGCAGGATTTTTGATGTTCTAGATAGGACACTTGCACACATTTATAGGTATACTGAGGTTTGTAACTGGTACAAGCTCCTAACATAAGTAGCCTATGGCAAATGTGTGAAATTTGTGCAAGCTCTAAAACTTAAGTATAACTTTGCCAAATGAGGAAGCCTTGCAAAAAAATGGGATGACGGAGGCCTGCGAGCAAAAAAAACCCAAAACGCTTGCTCCTCTGCCCAAAGCGTAAGGGCATTAAAGTAGTAAAATTTCAACTTTACCATCTAATACTAAATTTAAATTTATCGAGAGATTTTAAATTTTGTAGAAAAATATTGTAAATTACAACAGTTATGACCATACAAAATTTACACCCCCTCATTTTTTTTTCTTAATTTTTTGCAAAGCCTTGCACCAATTTCACTTTTTGAGTTTGTTAGCTGTTCTTGCAAACCTGATTGCATCATAAATTATTGTTCCTGTATAAAATGGACTCAGGTTTACTGATCTATGTGCATAGGTGTAAAAACGTGTAAAAGCACATCGTTTAAAAAAAGACACAATGATGACAATGATAAAATTGAGTAAGAAAGCGAACTTTATGAATGAAAGTTGCATTCTAGTATTTTATCTATTTTTGCTTTATTTGCCGTAATTTTTGTTACACCTACATAATATATGAGGACTAATAGTTAAATTACTATAATGAAAACCTTAAGACAGGGCTTGAGCAAATAAGTGTCGTGGAAATGGGTGACGAAGATTTTAAAGAAAAAGATCCTCAATTTTTAGTCTTCTTTGTGTATAAATTTGGATCTTAAATGTATGATTGATTGGCTAAATGCAATCTGGTTACACAATGCTAATGCTATTCCATAAAATATCATGTAAACTGTTTGTTTATGAGTAATTTAATGGAAAGTGTGAAATCGTTTTTTTAAAATAATAAAACTCTCCTTCGCAATAAAGGTTATTTGATAGTCAAAAAAAATTTTTTTTTTTTTAAAAACCAACATGGATATGTACATTAAGAGCTTAGTTTCGACAGGCTTTGTGTTTTTAAGATGAACTGTAAAAGGAATAGTTAATTTAAAGATTATAAATAAATATGTCAACTTAATTGCCTTATAGAATAATTGAATGAATAAAGGTAAAGATTGATTGATATTATCTTTGTTTTTTGTTAAACCTTGCTAATATTACCATTTAAATATACCAAAGGTTAAGAATAAATGAAAACAAAGTTATTCTATGAGATAATTTATTCAAAAAGCATTTGTTTATGGAAATGTTATAAATTCTTTCTACAAAAGAAAACGCCGTAACTGCATACAAACTGTAAAATACGTCCTAATTGAAGAAGATCAAAATATCCGTCCAGCAACATTGGAAGAGCGTTACAGTCAAATGTAACACGAGGTAATAAAATGACAATCGCATCAACAAAAGAAAGATTTAACAACCTGATTTTTTTTTGCATTTTTAAATTTAAGTTATAAAGATAAATCATGAAAATAATTAGAAAAAGAGCTTAAGTATACTTTTTATACTAGTTTATAAAATAGTATATTTTTAGGTTTATTAATGATAGTGACAAGCCATTGTTAAAAACTAGGGATGTACCGAAGCTTCGGCTTCGGCAATTTTGCCGAATTTTTGGCTTTGGCAAAAAATTTTAAGTAATTAAAGTTATAAGCTACTGTTGTACAAGTTATAAAAATACTCTAATTGCCAGTGTGTAATTATGTTATAAATTCAGGACTACAGAGTTAAAGTTCGAGTCTATACAATATACTTAGTATTATTTACTTCCAAGTGTCTTGTTATGGAGGGGATAATAATAAATAAGTAAAAATATTTTGAAAATAATAATAAAATTAGGGAAGGTCTTCATACACTTTGAAGGCTTCCAAGAGTGACTTTAGATGAACTGAATCAGCATTTCTATGCAGAATAAAAACCTTATAATTTAAAACAAAATAAAAATTTTTAAAAATAAAATGGAAAAAAAACTTTAATTTGTATTATGTAACGAATTCATATTAATTATTGTGTGGGATTACCGCAAATAGAACAAAGTTTAGTTTCAACAATTGACCTATAAACCTCACTTTAAAGAAGATTAAAGATACGTTGCTACTATTTTAAATTGTGAGTATGTTTAATTTTTTAAAATTTTATTTAACCATATTAATAAAAATTTACAAATTTTCAACGTAAATTTACAGAAATTGGTTAGGTGTCACTTATATAGATACAAACTAGTCAATGGAGTGACACATAAAAAACCTAAAGTTCTCAACAACAAAAAAAGAAGAAAAGCAAATGAAATATAAATGAAAAGAATAAAAAAAGAAAAAAAAAGTCAACAAAAACTAGATAAATGAAAAGAAAAAGAAAAACAATGATAATAATTATCCTTGCTCTTTTATTAACATTATGAATACTTCTAAATTGAATTTATATATTAAACATGTAAACCTATATTCTGGTTTCTTCTTATGATATTATGAAGACTTTTAAATTTTATTTAAAATAAATTAAAGGTTGAAGTTTTGATTACTTTGAGATCTTATATTTATCATTAAAATTAAATAAACAATTTAAATCAAATAAATATCAGCCTACTCAGTCCCTGTTTGTTTATAAATATAAAGTAAATAATAATATAATTATAAATAAAAAATTTATAAAGTATTCCATTTATTATTTTATTATTATTAAAGCTCACTCTACAGAGTTGTTAGATTACTATGGAAGCTTTTATCACAGATAGTTAATATTTGATTTCAGATACTGATGCAGATTTATCCATTACAGAGACAGAAGAAGAATGAATAGTAAGATTTCAGTGTAAAAGATTAAAAGAAGCTAAAGAAAATGTATGTAGTGTAAAGTTAAAAATAATCAAAAAAAAAAAAAAAAACTTAAAAGTGTGTAAAGAAAATGTGTAGAGAGAAACCTATCATTTGTACTTTTTTTTAGCAGCAGGTTCACAACAGTTGTAGTAGAATAAAAAATGGTCTTAATTTGGGTTTTTTTAAGTTTAGAAATTGTTCGTTTAATGAATACAGAGAAGTAAAAAAAAAGTTATTGAAATAAATAGCAATAAAAAGATAAAGTGTGTTTGTAAGATTTTTTATGTTGTAGATACAACTAGATCAGCTAAGAGTGTTTATTTAAAGAAAGAGTGATCAAGCGCAAAAGATAAATTTACTCTAGTAATATTCAGAGATTTTTATCCACTTCTATTAACAAAAGGTGCATTAAAAATAAAAATAAAATATACTGCACATGAAAAGACGCTATATAACATTAATATGGTTTGCACACAGAAAAAGTAGAACTAGAAGTAGGAAAATTTGGGGAGAATGTTTCAAAAAAGCTTAAGTTTAAAAAAAAAACACTCAGTGCGGTCAATTATTACAAACGAGATAATGAGAAACTTTCAAACAGGGGCGCCGAGAGCTTTTGCCCTGCCTGGGACAGCAACCCTGACTGGCGTCCTCATTTTTATACGATTTTTCTATATTATTAGTCAAGGACCTTAGTTTTGGTACCTTTTTTGCTTTACACCCCTGCTGATCTAAATGCTGATTAAATTTTAAGCATGTATAGTGCCGAAGCTTCGGCTTCGGCAAAATTTTAGCTTCGGTACATCCCTATTAAAAACTAATAACCAAAAAAAAATCCATAATATTTTTCAATTCATTTATATATGTTAAAAGTCAGTGTATCAAAAAGTAAAATAAAAAATTATTTTTAGTAAGTTAATTAATTTTAGTTAATTCTGTTTAATTTTGTACACCAGAAAAATTGTTTTTAACTGATTGGTTGTTGTCAATTTTCAATAAAAAGTTTTATTACTAAAACTAATTGTCATTAGTTATTATTGAACTAATCCACGACTTAAAGTAACTAACTTTTGCAAAGACTGTGTAAGTTTCGTCCGAACGGCATTCTCCAGATCCGTGACTAACAGTGCCGTGAACAGACCACCGTCCACCAATGCTGCAAACTAAAGGGCCACCGCTATCACCATGGCAACCAGACATTCGAGTTAATCCACCGTCACCTGCGCAAAGCATGGCTTTAGTTATAGGATGAGGTATAGTTTGTCTGTTTAAACTTTCACAGGTTGTTTGGTCCACAATACTCATTTTTCCTTGCTGGAGAACGTTTGTCATATTTCCAGGATGACTTGTTTTACCCCAACCTAAATTAATATTAATTTATATCTTAAAACATGTATATATTTTTTATTAGTTTAGTATAAATATATCATTAATAAACATTCTTATATTGACTTTATCGTCAAGTTTTATAATCAAAATATTTTTTTAGCTTTCAAAAAGAAATTATAAGTATCTTGTTTTGCAAATAAAAAGTATTAAGTAAAAGTGAAATTTGCTTTTATGACTCCAAAATAAATTTTGAAATTATTTTGCTTACACATTAAATTATTTAAACTTGAGCTGCTTTTAAAATATCATTTAACAATTTGTTTTTTTATTTATACAAGATACTTTTCGTAAAAACACTACCCCGTTTTTTGAATTATGTCAAATATAAATTAACCTTTACACACTTTTATCAATTTGGGATCGACGCAACAGTCACTTAGACACACACACAGACACACACATACATAAAAACACACACACATATATTTGTGTGTATATATATATATGTATATATATATATATATATATATATATATATATATATATATATATATATATATATATATATATATATGTATATATATATATATATACCTGTAATAAAGCACAAAGTTCCTAATGTAGCTTCATTAGAAGGTAAACACGCAGTGCTGACGTGATTGTTTAGTTTACAAGGTCTTGCCAACTTTATAAGTGCAACATCATTGTCATGTGTTAATGGATTGTATTCTTTATGTTTTATAATTTTAACAGCTTCAATGTTTTCTTCGGTTCCTTCGTTAACATCTATAATGTGTTCACCAGTCCTTGAATTTAAATTGATATAGTTATCATTTCGTAAACTTTCAAAATTTAAATTTAAAATTTATTAAAACAATAAAAAGAAGTAGTTATCACCTAATTACTATTTGTGCTGGTTCGTATTCTTTGCCATGTATGCAATGAGCAGCTGTTAGTATCCATTCTCTATGAATAAGTGTGCCTCCACAAAACTCTATTCCATTTTCAAAAAGTAACGTTTGCCAAGGCCATGCACCTTTCTTAGGAGTTGCTCCAGCAATTACACGACCAGTTTGAAATCTAGGATTGCCACATTCTTAACAAAAAGTAAAAATTTACTATTATTGCAATAAATGTATTTTAAAGATTCTAACTCTACAAATATTTTTTACAATTGTACCGCGTGTGACCAAAAATATATATATATATTTTTTTCAAGTTTTCTTTCTACATTGATTTTTTTAATCAAAAATCGATGTATAAGGAAAACTTAAATCTAAAAAATATATTTATTAAAAAGTGATAAGCTATGACACACGCTCAGATGGAATAGTCACGAGATGACAATTCTGGAGATCCTGGTGGCAATAACTCTTTTGACCAGTGTTTTGACAGGTTCAGCCACCTCTGGGACTTATTAGATATGTGTTGGTGCTCTATCTTGCTGGAACACCACATTGTTGTTTGGAGAGAAGTGAGTATCAATCCAGGGGTTGACATGGTTCTCTAGGATTCAAACGTACTCCTTGGTGATAAAATTCTGTTACGAAGGTCTCAAACAAAACCACTCAAGCGAAACACGAAAGCCTAACGAAGCGTGAAGCGTTTGGCGGAAACGTTGTTGGTAAACTAACCTGTTTAATAATCGTAGACGTGTCTAGCGTCTATTTATAATTTAAAAACAGGAAGAAGTCCGGACACAGAGCGAAGAGAGAAAGAGAGAGAGGAGATATATGGGTAGTTAACGTAAAGAGAGAAGATATATGAATAGTTTAAGTAGAGAGAGATATATTGATAAAGAGATATATGAACATTTGGATATGATTAAGTAACTTTTTTATATAAACTTTCTGAATAATATTACTACGTAACGTTTAGCAATTTAATCGTCATTTACTTACCGCGTTACAATTCTGACCAGATTTAATGAAAACTGGACACATTTTTAGAGCATCAGAAGAATTTCAAGATATCATTCAAGACCAAGCACCCGGCTTCAGTTATGTTAGTCTGGCCAAACATCATAACTGATGCCGGGTGTTGGGTCTTGAATGTATAATTTACATGCTTTGGAACTGCTTGGACCGGTTGACACAGAATCAAAAGTAAACAATTCATCTTCCAAGGAGAAGATGTTCATTAGTATTTTCTTCAGGATATTAAAAAGTTTCTTAGATATTCCAAATCTTTTTTAATTCAGACCCACGACTTTGCCTTAAGATTCTTTCTGACCACGTTTTTTGTGGTGTGCTCACTCACTGAGAGATTTTAAGCCATTTTTTATTGACCTTAATGAGTTCCAAGAAAATTGGCCATTGACAGTCTTGATCAATTGAATAGCTCGAGTTTACCCTTTTAAACCACTGCCATGCTTCTTCTTAACACGACCATTCATTTGAAAAAGTTTAAAAATAGTTCAGACAGTGTTTAGAGATTTGTTTATCATCTTGAAAATATCTTTTGGGTTGGCCACTGCCAGGTCAACAATTAGTTATTCATTTTAACTTTTTGACTGCTTTTTATTTTTATTTTTTTATTTTTAAAGTTTTATGCGTTGAGAATAACAAACTATGAGCTCAAAAAGATTTGCAGAGATTTGCGGTCGCATACGGTAATTTTAAAAATTACAGAGAAGAATATTAATACTAATGCAGATTAAAAATATTTTCGGGAAATATTTAAGGTAATATCGTTTTACCTTAAATTTTAAGTTACCTGTTTGAGATGTATCAGTTGTTACTGGTCCTATAAAATTCAAAGTATTGTTTAATTAGAAATAATAAAATAAATGTGTTTAAGTAATATGTCAAGTCATTAAAACTCACCAGTTGGCAATTAAGTACGAGGAAAAGTGGTTATTGTACCTAAAAAAAAAAGTAAGCAGATATTTTAAACATAGCTTTTTTAGTAATTTTTTTTGATCGTTAAAAAATGTAAAGAATATTTTTAGTTTATTGCAATATTTACAGTAATTGCAGGTTCTTTGGCAACTTTGAATCATGTACGAGACCCAATTAGGGTTTGTGCATAGTAAAATATTTTCAGTGCACCATCGAGTAGAGGTTTTGTCGTAGCAACCTAATAATAATAATCATTAGAAAAATGGTTTTAGAAATTTGTTTACCACATAGTTTCTTATTACAATGTTTATTACAATATTGTAATAAAGAAAATATGAAATAAAAATAAAGTAAAAATTACCAGTAATGATATCGTTTAGAAATAAAAATAAATAAATAAAGGACGTAGATACTCAAAGAAAACCTTAAGATCTCGTCATGGAAAACCGCTTAAATGAAATTAGAACTTTTTTTTCATTTTTCTGTTATGATATTTTCGGGTAGCATCAAGCATACCTATGCAGTGGCGGATTAAGACTTTTTGGGGCCCGGGGCTATTTTTGTTTTTGGAGACCTTTTTATGGGCCAGAGCCTAAAAATGACTTTAAAAAAAAAAAAAAGTCCTCTAAAATTATTGCGGGCCCCTTAATTTGCGGGGTCCGGGGCTATAGCCCCCCCTTCCCTAGCCCCCTTAATCTGGCAATGAAACTCCAAACAAATCGTGCATACAAGAATGTCCATAAATGATTCAAAATAAATATCAGGTCATGATTTCATTAATTATGTATTTTGTCAAACATAACCACTTTATTAGTTTTGTTGTTTTGAACTTAAGCATTTTATTTGCTTTGCTGTTGATTATTTCTTTATCGTAACTACTGAATTTTATTAATCGCTATATAATCACTTGATATAATGTAGATCACTTAATATAATCAATGTATATAATTATGAATATGTCAGAACTTCCAAATACATTTCCAGATTTTCAAATTGTAAAGAAAAAACCTAGAGAGCCACACGAATAACCAAAAGTTGGTACGTTTACGCTTCCGACGATAAAACCCCGATTAGCATCTAATTTTCTTGCTCAAAACAAAACTTCTTTTCGCCCAAAAGATTTATTTTTCTTTTTGATTTCAAGTCATCCTTACAAAAGTTTTACATAAATTTATATAAAATAACTAATCACAAAAATTGTTATTAAAAAAACCGCCTAATACATAATTAAAATTAAAATTAAGAACTAATAATAAAAAAAATAACCACGTAATTGTCAAAGAATATTCTGGAACGTTTTACATCGAAATTAAACTCCTCGTTGATCCTTAAGGGTTATACAAATAGTAATCGTTGTACTTCTAGGGCATGCGTCGTTCTCGAGTGGCACTTCTGTTTCTTGGAGTTCATTTTTTACTTCTGCATTATCAAGGTATCTAGCTCCGCCATATTTATGTGAACATCAGACATTTTTTTTCGCAGCCATGTTGCATCTTTTACGGTGTCAGCGCTAATCATCAAAGAACTGGCGACAACCCACACGTCACCCTCGTCATCATGTACAGCCCTATACCCATTAGCTGGTTCGCACTTTTCCGATCTCTTGTATTACACACTTTAAATTTTCACCGCGAACGTCCCAAATTTCGTCAAACAAACGACTCTTCTTTTCAAAAAACTTTTTTTCTTCTTTTCTTAACTCCATTTACTAAAACCTTAATCCGAGCAAAAAAATTAGCTCGGCATATCAAGCCCATTATTTTGAAGCACAAATACTCAATTAGTTGTCTCCAAATCAATACAAATCCTTGGCATGCAAAAAACAATTTCATCATTGTTGATTAAAAAATGGCTCTCAAATTATATAAAGTATTTATAAGACCACTCCTCGAATATGTAATGTCTGTTTGGGTGCTGTATTTAAAAACTGACGTAGCTTTGGTTGAAACTGTTTAACAAAAAGCAACAAAATGGACTTCAAGTTTGAGGCAACTTCAATACTGCGAATAACTAAAAAGACCAAATCTACCATCACTTGAGTTTTGGCGCCAACGATGCGATCTTAACCAAATCTTTAAACTAATACATCAATTTCATATAATTACTGATATATATCAACCAAAATTTATTAACTTCTTGTCATGTGATCACCATCGTAAAATAAAGGTGTGAATATAATCATAATAATAATAATAATATAAATATTTTACAAAATACTGCAAACCCGTAACCAACCACAGACTGGCAAATAGTATACTAACAACCCAAAAACGGACAACACTATTCTTCTATATAACTTTGTCGGAACTACATCAACTCATTTTTTCTATGGATCACATCAACTTGTCACCAATCTTGCGTACACAATCCCAATACACGAACCCTATTAAATTCTGTAATGGAGTTCATCTAGATGAACTCCATTACAGAATTTAAAGGATAGAAGACAACTCGCTGATTCTACTATTAAGTGCAGGAGCAATTAATATACGCTACCTCGCTCCTGAACAATGGTAGAATTAGCTCATTTTCTATTATGTATCTCGAATGGCAAAGATAAACTTAACAAAATTGACATTAAAAAACAAGATCATGAGTCAACATTTGATGCTGTTGAAAGGAAGGTGAATGGAAATGGAGAGATGGAGTTGGCTCCGACCAATTACTTTATAAAGTTGTCCAATATATCATACCAAAACATTCAAAAGCAGAATACGAAAACAAACAACAGGATTAAGAAATGATAACCTTTAGGCAAAAACTGACATAAACAAAATGTTTAAAAGTTGCGATAACGTTTGGTTGAAACCACCAAATGCGAAGTGCCATACTAAGTGGCAGCCAGAAAAACTCAAAACATTTTAAAGCAAACAGTAGAAGTTAATTGCGTTCCGCGTCACGTAAAATATATTCGAACTTGTTATGAGACTCAAACTTTATGCGATATTTCTAAAGCCAAAATAGAAGTGAACAGATGTACAGTCAACAGGAAACTGATATAAATCAAACCAGTGATGTAAACTCAATTAGTGAACAGATTTAAAGTCAAAATAAAAGTTAACAGATGTACAGTAACAGCGAGGTAGCGTATATTAATTGCTCCTACACTTAATAGTAGAATCAGCGAGTTGTCTTTTATCCTTTAGCTTACTTAATTATAAAAAATATAAATAACATTTTGAAATCGCCATCAATGAAATTTATATTACTTGAAATGGCTACATCAAAAAATAAATTTTAACGCAAAGGCGAAAAG